GAGCCCCACCCACTAATGGGGATACCTGGGGGGGACAGCCTCAGCGAGCCCCGCCCACTGATGGGGACACCTGGGGGGGACAGCCTCAGTGAGCCCCGCCCACTGATGGGGACACCTAGGGGGGACAGCCTCAGCGAGCTCCGCCCACTGATGGGGATGCCTGGGGGGGACAGCCTCAGTGAGCCCTGCCCACCGATGGGGACACCTACAGCCAAGATGGCCTAAGGCAGCCCCAGGCCATTCTCAGGGCACCCGATACGAGGTGCTCAGCTGCCCCCACTTTAGGGAGAATCAGGGCGATCGGAACAAGCACTTTCAACTCTTCATCAAATACGAATCAGCCCCTCTGTGCCAACTGCTGTGCCACAGGCAGGTGCTGGGGGACGAGCAGGAGGTGGTGGCCCAGTGTGGAGGGGGACAGCAGTGCTGAGACAATGAAGTGGAGTCACCAGACAGCAGGAAGACGAGGGGATGCAGACCCCGCCCAGCAGACAGGAGGGAGAAGCACGCAGGCCCAGGGAGCTGAGGCTCAGAGCCACCCTAGAACTCTCCCAAAGGCTGGACAGCACCTTCCCGGCCATGCTGCACACGGCAACGTCAGCACCAGCAGCTCTCAGGAGGGCTTAGTCCTGAGGAAACCGCAGGTAACTCACACCTTCCTGCCCCTGTCCCTGCTCACCGTCCTTCTCCTTGTCCATCCGCACCTTCTTCAGCGCGACAATCTCGTCTGTCTGGGTGTCCCGGGCCCGATCTGGAATGGAAACACATCCGTGATGGAGTCCGACCCGATCCCCCGTCAGAGCTCACTCTTACTGCCCTTCCTGGGCTCCCAAGACCCCCCTCCTCTTCTCTGACAACCTAATGCCCAGTGACACGCGGTCCTCACTCTGGGCAAGCAACAGCCCTAGCCCAAGACACATGTTCCCTGGGGGGTGGGGGTGCTGTGTTGCTCTGAGCTGTGTGACACCAAGCTCTCAGTTCTTAGCAGGCAAAGCACTGTCTTGTGTTGTCTTGTAATTATTTTCTAACATCAAATAAGGTACTATATCCAGAAAAAATAAGTAACATTTATTTTGTGTGACTCTGGCTCCACAAAGCATTGTGCTAATTTGTGCGGCTTCTGGACTAACACCAATTTTGCAGCTACTAAAAGCTCCAGCTGCTTTTGGAAGTTCTACATTTTATTTCTCTAACAGTTCTCTCCACTCTGTGGTTACACATTTGGATTACTGACATTAGCAACCTGATGCTTATGATTATCCAGAAAGGGTATAAAGTTTGTGGTAATGACACCAGGAACTAAAAGTTCCTGAACAAGTTTCTGCCCTGGTTTGGAGAGCAGGGTCTGAGCCCCTTCCAGCCTCAGCACAGGGGCTGCTTTGACACCCCCGTCCTGCATGAACCGTGGCTGCAGACCAGGCCTTGGCTACTCACACACGATGCCATAGGTGCCCTCCCCTATGCGGTTCAGCTTCTCAAACTCCTTCACACTCCGGCATCGTCCCAGCTGAAAGAGAATGGTGCCACCAGTGTTGGTATTTGGCAGCTAATGGGACAATGGAGGATGAGAATGTCACACATAATTTATACAAAGAAGCCCGCTCGTGACTTGCTCACCAAACAGAAAAGCAACCACACAGCTGGGCTTTTCTGATAATAAAAAGGGCTGCTGACACTGGGCCAGCGTTTTGAACATCAAGAGTGGCCTAACCACTCACTTTCCCATGGTCCAGATGTCTGCTGTCCAGTAACAGTAGCCACTAGCCACGCATGGAAACACTTCTGTAGAAAAGACTGCTGTCCCCAACATCCACACATCACTATTTGCTTTGAGTTATGAAACGCTACCTAGTGGCATTCGGCCTTGAGATGTGAGAAGGGACCCATGTGACTTCCAGATGAAAGGGAGCTGGTTGCCACCCACTTCTTTGGCCTCTGAGGCAGCCTGAGATGTGGATGAAGTACAGCGGCAGCATCAACACAGATGGAAGCAGAATGCCTGGCCCACCTTGTGGAAAACAGCTACCTCTCTCTGGAATGTTGGGGGAGAGAGAAATAAGGCCCTACTTTACCTGAGTCACTGGATTTTGGGGTCTCTGTCCTAGTAGAAAGCCCGTACTTGAACACACTTTTTTAATGTGGTGCACTTCTAGGTGGACTGAATGAGCTCTTCCCCTTACATCTAAAAAGTACATGCAGGCCAGGCAAGGTGGCTCATGCCTGTAATCCTAGCACTTTGGGAGGCCAAATCGGGAGGACTGTTTGAGGCCTGGAGTTCAAGACCAGCCTGAGCAAGACCCCGTCTCTACTAAAAGTAGAAAAATTAGCCAGGTGTGGTGGTGCGTGCCTATAGTCCCAGCTACTCAGGAGGCTGAGGCAGGAGGATCACGAGTCCAGGAGTTTGAGGCTGCAGTGAGCTATGATGACACCACTGCACTCCAGCCTGGGTGACAAAGCGAAACCCTGTCTCACAAAATAAATACATAAAAATAAAAAAATAGAAAGTATGTGCTGCAAGGTCCGAATTCTCACAGCTCCCATCTGGCTTCCCTTAATAATCCCGCCCTAGGTCTTGTTACTTCTTGACACCTGGGGAAACAAATCAGGATGATGTGGCCTGGCGCCCTTCCATGATCTCGCCTTAGCCTCCCTTCCCCACCTTAATTTCCCTTCTCACATTCCCTCTCTCCTTGTGCTTCCTGTTTACCCTTTCTCTCCTCCGCGACTCTGCTGCTCCAAGCCTGGCATGCTACCCCTTCTCGTCTCTGGCTGTCCAAATCCTGGACACACTTCGTGGCCTCCAAGAAATGCCACCCATTCTACTAAGATCTTCCTGCCCTCCAGCTGAAAACAATTCCTTTCTCTAAAATCCCTGACACTTTAGGTCTTAAGGCACCTACCACCGTGCACTTTGCGTTGTCCTTGGCTGGCTCTCTTAGCTCCCTGCGACAGCAGATTTCCAACTCACTGCTTTAGCCTCAGTGAACTCAGCAAGCGCCTACTGCGCGTCTGAATGGTGCACGGTGACCATCACAGGACTGAAGTGCGGCTCCCGTCACTTGTACGCCACTACCTGTTAACGAGTCTCACCGGACCCGTGACTCGGCCTATCAGAGCATCCATCGGCACGTAGTCAAAACACAATCCAGCTTCCAGAACTCAAAGCTCCGTCCCTCCACCACCTGTCTGCCTCGGTCAAACCCACTCGACGACCCGAAGAGCCACCTCGGCAGAGGGTCGCTGAGAGGACTACGCGGCAGTGCAAGCGCGAGGCCCCGCACTAGGGCACAGGAACGCTGCCGGGTCCCAGCGGGGCCGCACCGGACTCGGCCTCAGCGCGGCGGGAGACCCCCGGCCTCCACCTCTGCCGACCGTAGACTCTCCCCTGACACAAGGCGCGAAACTCAAAAGCGCCCGAGGCGGAGCCCGGAGCCCGCCCTTCCCAGGGAGGCCAGCGACTCGAGAGCGGGCCGGGGCCGCCGGGTCCCGGGACCACCCGGCCGGCTTCCGCCCCTGCCGCGGGGAATCCTGGGACTGCCGTCCCGCGTGCCGGAAACCCCGGCGCCGCAGCGCGACACCGAGGCCCAGCGTGCCGCCGCCCGGCCCTGCCGCGGGCGAGGCGGCCCAGTTGCCCCGAGTGGCGCCCCGTCGCACCCTGTGTTCCGGAGGCACCGCGAAGAAGCCTTCCTTACGGATACACTTCAGGCGGATCTGCTCCGACTCCGGTTCGGGCTCCGCCATGCCGAACGCCGCCTCGCCCCGCCCCCCGGTTCCCATGTGCGCAGGCGCATAACCTACTTCCGGCGGTGTCCTGTCCTTAGCAACGGTTACCAAGGGAACCTCTCGGGAACCTCCTGGGGAACCTCAGCTCCTGGGATCCCGCGGCCACCGCGGTTCGTGCCTTATCTGAGCGTTAAGCCCGGGCACCTGCCCGCGGGACCGGCGGAGGACAAGGCCGGAGTGGGAGGCCGCTGCGACCATCCAGGCGAGGGGTCCTCCAGGCGAGGGGTCCTCCAGGCGAGGGGTCCTCTAGGCGAGGGGCCGGGGCTGTGCGCCAGACACGGGCGGGGTGAAAGGTGGGGGCGCTCGCGGAGCCGGTGCGCAGGGCCGGCTGTGTCCGCGGTCCCCGGGCGCTGAAGCCGCACGCCTCCCTTCCCCTGCAGAGACGGAGCTCCGAGGCTGGTCGAGCCACCCTGGCGGGGTCCGCCTTGCTAGTCCCTGGCCCAGCCCTGGAAGGTGAAACAAGTCCACGTGGAATGTTTCCGAAGGGCCGTGGGCGCGTGGGCCCAGAATCGGGCGGCACGTCCCCTGATCTGGCCTCACTGTTGAAATCCAGTGGAGCTGGTGGGGCTCAGACCAGCCAGACTTGGACTAGACTCCGATTGGTTTTGATCAGCATAAAGAAAATGCCTCTGCCTTTTGCTGAATCCAGATTTTACAGAATAAAGGGATTTGTTTGGATGCAGTCGGGGGGCTGCACGTAGCCTTGAGGCTGTAGGTTCCCCACCCTATTATTTTATTGATTGATTGACTGACAGGGTCTTGCTCTGTTGCCTGTGCTACAGCACAGTGGAGTGATCATAGCTCATTGCAACCTCAACTCCTAGGCGCAAGCAATACTCCTGCCTCAGCCTCTTGAGTAGCTGGCACTACCAGGCCCAGCTAATTTTTTAATTTTTTGTAGAGATGGGTTCTTGCTATATTGCCCAGGCTGGTCTTGAACTCCTGGCCTAAAGCCATCCTCCCACCTGGGCCTCCCAAAGTGCTGGGATTACAGTAGTGAGCTATTCAGAGGCTATTTAAATTACAAATGTCAATTCCAGCAAATCAGTAACAATTGCAGTGCTTTAAGCTCTTTCAAGAGCCAGCTGTAAGCGAGAGCTGTGCTCCCGATGGCGCTGGGGAGCAGAGCCAATCCCTGGACGCGGCCTCCGTGGTAGTTGTGTCGTGCTTGACGCCAGCCTCACCCCCATCTCCAGCCAGGGACAGAGCCTTGTGCAGGAGGGGAGGCACTGTCATTCACAAGGAAGTGGGGGGTTGCATTTCCTGTTCTGCCACTCTCACAACATTTGTCTTTGCAGGCTGGGGAGAGCTGCTTGGCTCTGGAGCCATCTAGGAGGACAGAGAGGGAAATGGTGCACTGGCCACTGCTGGAGAGCAACTGAAGAGGCCCAGGAGGCCCTGAGGGATGGCACTCAGTTGTTCTGTGTGGTGTGTGATGGAATGTAGAATACCACTTACCTCTGATCCGTCGTGGGTGTTTTCTTGTAAGGGTTGGAAAGCTGAGCTCCTAGGTGCCCAGCAGCATAGGCCCGTCTGGGCTCCAGTAATGTAGGTTAATGCAAACCAGGCCTTCAGTGGCAAGTCTTCAACATTTTAAAAAAATTAGCCGGGCATAGTGGATCATGTCTGTAATCCCAGCTACTCGGGAGGCTGAGGAAGGAAGATTGCTTAAGGCCAGGCTTTCAAGACCAGCCTGGGCAACATAGCAAGACCCTGTCTCAAAAAAAGAAAAAAAGAAAAAAAATTTAAAAATTAGATATCTTCTGGTAGATTGCATTCCCTCCCCTGGGAACTTTAAAATACATTTATGTGAAACAGTCTTTAAAAAATGTCATATCGTCATGCTGTACTTTTTGATTTTGGAATTCATTTTTCAGTCTTATTTAGGTTGTATGTGTACATATGTAGCACTATATATGTATGTATGTACTAGATTGGGCTGTGTGTATACATGCATGTGCATGTGTACTAGAGAGGCCTGTATTAGAAACTCTGCATGTGACAGCAGCAGCCCCCTCACCCCAGCAACTAAGGATGTGTCCGTGATTCTGGTGGACATGCTACTGTCCCTGGTTCTGTTAGTCCACCTACGCCAGCATATCTTGGAGACCGTGTATAAAGTGTGCCAACCAGTCTAGAAAACAACAAAGCTAGCACATTATCACTGAATGTATGAGACCAGACGGGACCCGGCATTCTAGGCAACGCTGGAAGAAAGGCAGGCTCGACCCGAGGGTTGCCGGTGAGGGTAGAGTCAGCTGAGAAGCTGTTTGACAGCATTGTGCTTGGGGCCCCTGAATGGCCCTTCACTGTCAAGAGCCCTCATCCCCAGGCCAGAAAGACATGGCAGTGCTGACAAGGCCACTTGCGAAGCCCAGGCGCCCCAGCTGCTGCCCCAGGACACAAACCACATTCTTCTGGGCCTTTTAGTACACTGGGTCAGATTACCGCCAAGCCAGGAGCCCTTGGGCCCGTGAGGTAACTTTGCGCCTGTTTTGAGAACATTACACCTTAAAAGTTTAGCCCTCAAAATCTGACCTTTTCCCCAAGTTTGGGGGACATCTCGTAACTTCCAAGTACTTACAGCCTATTCTTTCAATGGGAAGGATTTTAACTGTCCGTTGTGAATCGGAGCGCGAGGTACCACCTGCTGTCCGTTCATCATCCTGCTCAGCTAGCCACCTGCAACAGGAAAGCACTAATTTATTCATTTATCACCACAAAGTCCACTCTTTGGGCCAGTCACTCGAGCCTGCGCCAAGCTGCCAGCAGCTCTGGGGCAGGTAACACCAAGGCGGTCACGGGGCAAGCCTCGTGGACTGAAGAAAGGCAGCTTCCTGAGGGTGGGCCGGCCCTCCTGCCACCGCTGCGAGACTCGTATCACAGTGAGTGAGGACAGCGGCTGGGGCACGTGTTTATTCTTTGGTGGGTACGTTATAGGCCTCTACTGTGCTGGGGTTCCTGTGTCGGCTGTAGGGGCCCCAGGCCTCGTCCTCGCAGATGGTCCTCTGCTCTTCGCTCCCACTGGAGCTGAAGCTGTTCAGAGTCTCATTCGAGGCTCGGGTGATGATGATCTGTGGAATGACACTTTCCTTCCTGCTGGACTTTTGCTTCACATCAGGTTTCTCTAGAAGAAAGAAACATCCAGACACTCAGTAGGTACATGGAACACTGCTTTCACCTTGCGGACAGTGCCTGTCAGAGTAAAGGAATTGCGTTCATGGTTAGCAGGAAGAGAAAGGGGCTAGGCCAGAAGTGATGAAACTGTCCAGGAACACTGCAAAGCTTCGGTGGATTAAAAACTCAGCCACGAGGGCTGGGAACACTGGATGCCCCCCAAGGAAGAAAGCAGAAGGGCGTCCACAATCCACGGTGGAATGACCTCGCTGCGGGGTGGCTTCAGGGTGACAGAAGCAGGAGGGAGAGGGGTCACGTGTCCAGGCAGGGGCTGCCTCAGAGGTTAGGGTTCAGAAATGCAATTTCCAAGGGATTCTATTAATAATTCTGGTACAAGCTTCCTACACAGAACTTTATTGATTAGAATGGTCTAGGAATGTGCATTTCCGACGCTGCCCACATTTTCCTAAACTTGTTAAGGTTACAAGGAATGCGTGAGACCTGTGAACCGCTGAGCCGGTCAAATGTTACGAAGTGGAGAAGCAGCAGTGCTCCCGGCCTGCTCCCTAGGGGGCCGCTGCTGCAGCCAGGGGCACGTCCTTTCTGCCTCTCTTACTTTGGCACCACAGAGAGGACGCTCCTCTCTCTGCACACGGATGCTCACAGACCTGCTTTTTCAGGAACACAGTTATATGGTCATCTTGGTTTGCAGCTTTGCTCCCCACTGAGTACCTCACAAACCAGTTACCCGGTGGGATGAAGAGCTGACAATGACAATGATAGCTTTCGTTGTCTGTTCTGAGCCCTGGAATAACAGCAGGGAATAATGACACGACAGCTTCTGGTGAAGGTCTTCTACGACCTACATTTTACAGATGAAGAAACTGAGGCACAGAGAGGTCAATCACCTGCCCAAGGCTAGTCAGCCAGGGGTGACAGAGGGAGGTGTGCAGACCCAGGCCACCTGCAGCACTGCCTTGTACAATCTCAGCTGTTTTAACTGCCAGGTGGGCCAGCACTGGGCCCTAAGATTATCCCTTCTCTGTTCCTTGTTTTCAGAGACAGGGTCTGGCTATGTTGTCCAGGCTGGAGTGCAGACTGCTCACAGGTGTGATCAAAACTCACTGCAGCCCCAAGATCCTGGCTCCAAATGATCCTGCCTTAGCCTCTCCAGTAGCTGGGACTACAGGCGTGTGCCACCATGCCCAGTGTCTTTTCATTTTTATTGTTACAAAAACCCGAAAAATGCATTTCATCTTATTTTACACTTATGTTAAATTGGAGAGTTCATTTTTTCATACTGATTATAAAAACTTTTTATATATTAAGACTTTAAAAATTAATACATGTTGATTTTTAAATTGCACATCCTGGTTCCTACCCTTCCAGCCATTGATGTGCCTACACACACACTCCACAGAAGGCTGAGCTTTCCACCTGACCGTACAGCGGGGCTGTGCCTCCTCTTTCATGGCGGCCTGTGTTCTTCTGTCATGGGAGCCCATCATTTATGTAACCAGCTCCCTTTGGTGAACATGATTTAGTTTATTTCCAATTTTTATCCTTTCTGTCGCCCAGCCCTGGGTAGAGTGCAGTAGCGTCAGCCTAGCTCACAGCAACCTCAAACTCCTGGGCTCAAGCGATCTTCCCGCCTCAGCCTCCCAGAGTGCTAGCATTACAGGCATGAGCCACTCCACCTGGTCAGAAATCAGATTAATATTCACATCTTCATTGTTTTTCTATTTACTTTTTCTATTTGCTTGAACCACCGGCCCCCCAGGTGCCAGTCCGCGTCCCTCCCCGCCTGGCCAAAGTGTCCCTCGCTATATTTGCTCTTTTTTTTGAGACAAAGTCTTGTTCTGTTGCCCTGGGTAGAGTGCAGTGGTGTCACTGTAGCTCACTGCGGCCTCAAACTCCTGGACTCCAGCGATCCTCCTGCCTCAGCCTCCCAGAGTGCTGGGATATTCACTCTTATCTGTCGGGAATTTATCTCATTATATGACAAGAGGTCAGAATCCAACGTATGTTTTCCCTTACAGTGTGAGGCAATTTTACTAGCACCATTTACTTTACAATCCTTCCTCTGCCCACTTATTTTTGGTGCCAGTTTTCTCATATATTAATTACACACACAGATATGTACATACTAGGGACTTATGCCTATTTCTTTTTCTTTTTTTAATATTTCGTTAACCTAAAGTGAAATTCTATACACATGTAACCTTATTTGCTTGTTGGGAAATGTATGCAGCACATTGTGCTAAAAATATAAAAGAGTTAACACTTTCAGCCAGTACTGAAAAGAAACACGCAGAGACTAAGCAACAAGTTAAAGTACAGTAATGCGCAACTCAGTGATGCTAAGTGTTCCACAAGGAGCCATGATGTAGACACCGAATAATTTAAGGAGATGCAAATGGGCCCTCTTCACAATTCTTGGCCATCTACTCAGGAAAGTAAATTCTGGTCACAGCTGAACGATTTCATTCTAGTCTCAAACAAAGTGATTGTATTGATAGACCAGGAAGCAGGAAAGGAGGGGAGGGAGGACGGAGGGAAGGAGGTCAGAGGGAGGAGGGAGAGATGGAATTCTCTTGTCCCTATTTCATATTTCATCTATTCTTATACTGGAACTATATTTTAATTATCATTAAAACTTTTGATACATGGAACGATTTTTATTTTTAGAATAATTGTAAGTTCACAGAAAGTTGCAAAAGTGCTGCAGAGAGGTCCCATGCACCCTCCACCGGTTTTCCCCAATGGTAACGTGGCTGTAGAGCGGTATCTGCGCAAGGACTCTGGCACTGGTACACGTGTGTGTACGGATGTACGCCACTTAATCCCATGTAACCACCCCCACCGTGCCGGCCACATCCCTCCTGCTGTCCCTCTACAGACACACCTGTTCTCCGAACACGCCCGTCCCTGGCCCCAGGCAACCACCAGTATGTTCCCTGTCTCTGTATTTCTGTCACTTGGAGAATGTCACACAAATGGAATCAAAAGCACGTGACCTTGTGAGACTGGCTTTTGTCACTGAGCTTGACGTTTTTTAACAGCTGATGGAAATGTTCCTTACGTTCTTCTTCTTTTTCAAAATTTTCCTGCAATTAAGTATACTCTACCTTCATAAAAAACATGATGAAAGAATTCAAACACACACGGATATAGAATAGCATCAGTGCCGGTACGTGCATCGCCAAGCTTCCATCGATACTCTGTCCCCTGGTTTTGCCGATCTTCCTCTTCTGAGTATCTTCAAGCAAATGTCAGACATAATTTCACCATAAACGTTGCAGTGTTTCTCTGTATCAGTTAAGGATTTTATTTTAGCATAACGATAATAGCTTTGCCACATCTAAGAAAATTAACACTGACTCATCCAGTGCCCAAACTGCATTTGGCTCAAGATCTCTCACGTTTCCTTATAACAATCTTCTTTTTTCTTCTTCTTCTTTTTTTTTTGAGATTGGCTCTTACTTTGTTGCCTGGGCATGAGGGCCGAGGGCAGTGGTGTGATCACAGCTCACTGCAACCTCAAACTCCCGGGCTCAAGTGATCTTCCTGCCTCTGTCTCTGTAGTAGCTGGGACTGCAGGTGTGCACCACCATGCCCGGCTAATTTTTCCATTTTTTGTAGAGACGGGGTCTCACTATGTTGCTCAGGCTGGTCTTGAACTCTTGGGCTCAAGCGATCCTCCCGCCTCAGCTTCCCAAAGTGCTGGGATTACAGGCCTGAGCTGCTGCACCCAGCCCCAGTTATCACTTCTTATTTCCCAGGCAATTGCATTCAGATGTCGTCTGGAGGCTGAGTCACCGGGAGGCTCGTTGGGACTGGATGTCCGCGGTGGCACACTCAGGGCTGGTCGCTGCTGCCGCTGCTGTGTGACGTGTGCTGTCCAAGCTGGGAAGGCCTGGGGTCATCCGATGGCTTGTTTGCTCAGGTCTGGCGCCTGGGCTAGACGGGCTCAGGCATCGGCTTTGCTAACTGCAGTGGCCCCGAGTGGCCTCCCCAGGTGCAGAATTGGGCGGCCACCGATGCAGTTTCCGTCACCCCAGAAAGGCACCTGTGCTCAGTTGTGGCCAGTCCCCATTCCCACCTTTAGCCCCAGGCAACCACTCATCTGCTTTGGGGCATAAACTTGCCCTTCTGGACATTTCATACAAGGGAGCCATTATCTGTGGTCTTTACATCGTCTTCTTTCACTTAGTGCCATGCTTTGGGGCTTCCTTCACGCGCAGCAGGCGTCAGCGGCTTGTTCCTTATCGCTGCCGAGCACGTTCCGCCACGTGGAGAAAGTACGCCCCTCGTTGTTCTCGGAGCTCCACCGCCACGCTCGCTCTCTGACCTGCTGTTTCCCCTTCTCCTCCACCTTCCCCCCACGAATCAATGATGGTGTAACAGACACTGCGGGGCCTGTCCAACAGGCGGCCCCCCTGCCGCAGGGGTCCCGCCCCTCCACTGCTTCACGGCCTCTTCCAGCCCCTGGTCAATTTCCCAAGTTGAGCCCACCCTACAGAGGATAGGCAGGCAAAGGAAACCGGGAAAGGTTTCCTTGCCAACATAAAGCAAGGAGAAATGCAGTCGCGTCTGCACGTGCTACCTGGAGCCATACAGCTGTCTGGGGGCTGTGGGGTAAGACGTCCCTGATGCTGAGGGTGGCAAAGCAGAAACATGCCAAGGCCTGATGTCATGGCCGTGCTGCTCGGCAAACCACCCTGAAGCCCTCTCTGACTCTTCATTCGTGAGACATTAAATCCCACAGTGCGAAGGCTACGTTTAGTTGGCTTTTCTCTAACTTTCAGCTAATAGCATCCTGACATTTTCCAAACCTCTGCCCTAGGACTACCGCCCTTCCTGCGGCCTTCTACACGCAAGTGAGGGGTTCCTAAGTTGGGATTTCAAGTCCAGGTCTTTCTCCCAAGACCAACATCCAAATTTAAAATTTAAAATATGTCCCAAGGCCTGACGTGGTGGCTCACACCTGTAGTCTTAGCACTCTGGAAGGCCAAGGTGGGAGGATTGCTTGAAGTCCAGAGTTTGAGACCAGCCTTAGCAAAACTGAGACCCCCGTCTCTACTAAAAGTAGAAAAATTAGCCGGGCATGGTGGCACACACCTCTAGTCCCAGCTACCCAGGAGGCTGAGGCAGGAGGATCGCTTGAGCCCAGGAGTTTGAGGTTGCTGTGAGCTATGATGACACCACTGCGCTCCAGCCGGGGTGACAACGAAAGACTCCTCTGTCAAGCCACGTCACTCCTCCTCCTGCTGGACCCTCTGAAGGCTCATTCTCATCGCCACTGAAACACCTCCTGGCTCACCACCCCCTCCATCTCATCAGACAGTGGGTTCTGCTGGGTCCACCTCCTGGATCCTTCTAGAATTCCTATTGCCACTGTTCACGGGTTCCCATGGATCACAGCAATGGGGTGTGTTAGGTCTCCTCTCTCTGGCTCCTTGCTTTTCCTGCCAGCCTCTATTCTGGAGCTGGAAAGACATCTCCAAGGCACAGACCCCATCAACCTCCCTTGTTTTATCTTTAAATTTTTAATTTCTATTAGAGACGAGATTTTATTATGCTGCCCAGGCTGGCCTCAAACTCCTGGGCTGAAGTGATCCTCCTGCCTCAGCCTCCTGAGTAGCTGGGACTACAGGTGCACCTCCTTGTTTTAAATATTTAACATCCCATCTCCACAACCCACATGACAAAACTTATGAGAGACTTTGTCTTCTGGCTTTTTCCTGCTTGTGTGGCTTCATCTTGCCCACACGCCCAGAGGACTGGCCACGCTAGGCTGTTACGAAGTGAGTACGTTTGCCAAACTGTTTAACTTCTTTGTCCCACCCCGTGCTACCTGCTCCTCAGTCACCCTCCTCACTGTGCCAGGCAGGGTGGTCCACAGCTCCACCCCAGCCCCCGGCAGCCTCCCGAGGTTCTAGTCCAGTCTGTGGGATGTTGGGAATCACGGTGGTACCAAGACATCCAGCCCTCCGGGATACCTCGGCTGAGAAACGTCTGTGGCTGTCCTCCACCACATCCCCCCGCGCTGTATGTTGTGCCTCCATCACTTGGAAACGCACCTGAACTTTCACCGAACTTGTATTTCCCACAAGAATTCTGGATGGTCAGTTACCTCCCCCACGAAGGTCCCGAAACAAACCCCTTTCATCATTAGGGCACGTGCCTGCTCTCAGAAATGGGCTCCTGCCTTCCCCATCCCCAGACTCCTCCTCCGAGCAGACTCCATCCCCCCCGGAGCCTCCTACCTTCGCCGGAAGCCGAAGGCTGCTGGTGCTTGGCTGTGTCTGCCCCCGGACGGAGGTCTGCGGGCTTCTGGCCCTCCCTGTCTGCCTGCCTGCCCTCCTGGGGATGCTTCTCCGCCAGCTTTTCCTTAGGTTTTGGAACTGAGCTGGTGGACGCCTCCTTTTGCTCCTCATCTGAAACACACGGGTCATGGGACCGGTAACTTACTGAGCCTCTGGGCACCGGTCCTACAGTTCTCGGGTGGCCTGCTTCGGTCCAGAGCAAAGTAAGACAGTTGGGGACACTCCGGCTCCCGACACTTTGGGTGGGACGCTTCCTGAGTCGCTGCCATCAGGCAGGACTTCGAGCCGCAGGAGCCGCGTACGCGCGCGGGGCGCGGGTCAGGCGGGCCCGCGTTACCTTTCCTGGGTGTGTGTTTGCTTTCGGAAAGCCCCATAGGTGAGCCCACCGCCCCCGCCGGCGAAGCCGGGCTCCCTGCGCCTCCGCGAGTGACTCACAAACGGGGCCACGGCCGGCGGCCGCGGGTCGCCACGGCAACGCCGCCCTCCGCGCCGCGGCTCCGCCCGCGGGGCCGGCCGCCGTCCTCTCGCGAGAGCAGGCCCCGCGACCGGAAGCGGGCGGCGACCCCGGAAGGCCCCGTCGGGCGGAGCTCGTCGGTTCGGTCGTCGCCCGGACCTGTCGTCGGTCGAGTTCGCGTCCCCTCTGCCTCTCCCAGGGGCGCCGCCGCCGGCCTGGCCATGGACGGTAAGAGGCCGCCGCCGCCCTCCGGGAGCGCGCGGGGCGGCCGTTCCCACCGGGCCGCGGGCGGGGCTCGCGGGCCTCGACCCCCGATCCTGACCTCGGAGCCGGGACCCCTTCCCCGGGGCCTCGATCCCCGACCCCAGGTCTCCCCCGCGCCCGCCCTCCTCGGGGTCTTGCCGCCTTTCCCCGCGAGCTCCAGCACCGGGGACGGGCAGCGATGCCCGCTGCTGCCTTTGGGCCCGGAGTGTCGGGTCAGAGGGCACCGGGCAAGGCGACGCTTCTGGCCCCTACCCCCAGAACAGCACCGGGAGAAATAGGAAGAGCTCGGAGGAAAAGTGCTCACTGAGCCCCAGGCAGGTTGTAAGCGGCCTGCCTCACCCCAGCTCTTGGAGATGCGAAGCGGACGCCCCCTTCTGCGGGGTGGGGAGACAGGCGGGGAGGGACCAGGCAGGACCGGCGCCCCGACAGGCGACTCTCCAGCCCTGACGTCCCCTTCGGGGCCGCTCTGTGCTCAGGGACACCAAAGCACGGGAGCGACCTGGTAACTGAAGGTGCCCGTGTTTTGGGGAATGTTTATGGGCTGTTGTGAAAGGCCTGTAAAAATACGTTTTGAAGTGTAAAAAGCTATAGTACAACCGTGTCGTTGTCACGGAGGAAACCTGTAGAGGTGTTTCTGCAGATTGCTTCAGAGGGAAGATGAAAGACAGCACCTGACTCCTTCCCCACCCAAAAAAGTTGGCTTTTGCTCCACGGCCCACTCAGCCCTTTTGAGGGAACTTTTCTTAAGCCCGTATCAGTGTTCTCCAGGGTTAGGTTTTACCTTAACGAGCTTCCTGTTCTCCAGAGTCTGGTTCTGCCACACGCATCCAGCTGGGAGAGGCGAGGCTGGGAGGGAGGGAGATTTGGCCAACATGACACAGGAAGTCGGATGGGCTGGGCCTCACCAGGCCCTGGGTCTGGTTAGCTGTTTTCCAAAGTCACAGACGACTTTGGCCTCAGCCAGCACCCGCGCAGATAGATGGTAGATGGACAGGTGCGCAGAGCACATTTGAAACCGGGTAGGGCTCAGCTAGGAACCTCGCTTTGCGTTTGTGAACACTGAGGACCCTCATTCCAGTTACAGGTCTTGTTTCCTCGTTTTGGGTTAGTGTGGTAACTCCTCTTAGGAATCAGGTGTCACCATCACTCTTCAAATCTAGAAACTGAATAAATTGACATCAGCCCAAATGTGCCCGGCTCTGGAGTTTTGGTGAGCGAGTAGCAAATGTGGGTATCAGGAGATTTACTCACTGACGCGCTTCGGTCTCCACGGTTGCCAAGTGTGGGCAGCTAAGGTCCCTGAGCCTGATTCCACGGCTCAGAAATGGCTGCTTCTGCGGAGTCTGCTCTTGGATAGCAGAAGAGATACCACCTTGCCGTTTGTATCCATTTACCTCTTGGTAGAAAGAGTATATAAAAAAGAGACTGCAGGCCGGGCGCGGTGGCTCACGCCTGTAATCCCAGCACTCTGGGAGGCCGAGGCGGGAAGATTCCTTGAGGTGAGGAGTTCAAGACCAGCCTCAGCAAGAGCAAGACCCTGTCTCTACTAACAATAGAAAAATTATCCAGGTGTGGTGGTGCACGCCTGTAGTCCCAGCTACTCGGGAGGCTGAGGTGGGAGGATGGCTTGAGCCCAGGAGTTTGAGGTTGCTGTGAGCTATGACAATGCCACAGCACTCTAGCCCAGGTGACAGATATCTCTTGAGTTGTCAGCACAGCCAAGTGCTACATCCATCACTTTATCGGTTTTCACATTGACCCTTTGAGCTTGGCTGGTGCCATCCTCGTGTTCCCACTGAGGAGGCAGGTTTCGGGAGTGTCTGCATGTGCCAGAGCCTGTGGCTAGCAGGGACCAGAGCTGGCACACTGGCCTGTCTCCTGATCCGCTGTCAGAGGCCTCCCTGAAGCCGCCAGGCAAACACGATCCCCATCTGCGTTCTGTTCCTAGTGTCTAGGAGGATCTTAGTGAGCCCACCTCCCTGTTAGAAGTGTTACTTATCACATGTCTTAAAATCCTCAAACCGTTTCCTCTCTCTTTGCAGATACCCTGTTCCAGTTGAAGGTATGTACCGGACGACCATTCATCCCAACCCTGCCCTGGTAGTTAGTGAACGAGGAGAGAGTATAAGTCACGCAGAGCCCCCAAAACAGTCAGGGGACAGATGACAGTGGTGGAGTGACTGCCACCCAGTGCTCAGACTGCTGACCAAAGAGGGGACTATGGAGTTGGCTCGATGGCATATCAGTTCCTCCCTTGTCTTGGGCTAAGTGGAAGCACGGCACTTAGGCTCGTCCATGAGAGACCGACTGTATTATCTTTCAGAAACACAACCCGGGTGTCATGGGCATGCCTTGATGCTCTGCTAGGCGTTTAAAACCCAAATGTGGCCTCAAATCCTTTAAGATCCCATTTGAAGAAGAGCTTTCTGGACAGCCAAGTATTCCTCTTGTCTGGGGTGCTGTCTGTACCTTCCAGTGACCCAGGGCACGTCTCTGAACATTCCCTCGAACGCTCTCACGGTTGATCATCTGTGTTAGCGTTGTCTCGTTTCATCGCTGGTTCTGAGACGCTGAGCAGAAGTGATGTGCACAAGCCGCTGAATGTAGTTGGGGGATGGTCTCATGTCCCAGTGTGGCTCTGTAAGATGTTTCTGGGGACAGGAGGGACTGATGGGAAGGTGCCTGCAAGGGGGCAGCACCTGTGGACGGGACCCAGGGCTGAGGCCGGCTCAGGGCATCACGGGAGGTGGCAGCTGGGGGCCTGGTCTCTGGCTCCAGGCCGGGGTTGCCAGAGGCCCTGTGGCTACATCGACGCCCTTTCTTTTTGGTGTTGGCGGAGCAGTTAGGCGCCCAGAAGCCACATATGCTGCCCAGCAACCTGTTGCACAGGCGGTTTTCTGTATAGATAACACTTGCAGGTGTACTTTTAATCTCGAATTCTGTGTTATTCCTGGGGGTAACCTGGAACAGGTTTTCTTGAGCCTTCTTTCCATCCATAAGCAGGAGTGGAGATCAGTGTGAGTTACCTTTTCACCCTTTCACTCCGGAGGGGGGTTGGATTAGGATTTTCGAGGAGAAGACAGACATTTTAGAACAGCCCCTTTTCCCAGACAGAGCTCGAGACGGGGGGGGGGGGTGCCACCTTCCCTGAGCTGGTTCCGTCCCTTGCAGCCGGGGTGGCGGTGAGCACACTCACTGCAGCCTTTGCGCCTCCTGCCAGCACTGGGCCAGGCTGGTTGACGAGTGCGTAGGAGCCAGCGTGGGCCACGGCTAGGCTCTGGGGAACGGGGCCTGGCGGGTGGGCCGTGCATGTCTGACTCGGATGTTCCGCTGTCCGCGCAGTTCACAGCAAAGCAGCTGGAGAAACTGGCCAAGAAGGCAGAGAAGGACTCCAAGGCCGAGCAGGCCAAAGTGAAGAAGGTGAGGGCTGTGGG